GCTTTTAACTTCTCTTTTTTCTTACTAGAATTATTACCAGGGTAAGGCTTGATTGTGTTGTGATCTCATATTGTCGGAAAGAAGTCACTTTCCTTTCATTGTACATCCTCTTGTGATTTCCCTGTCAAAGATCGACTGTGTTCTCGTTCTTTGTAGTTATGATCAAAAAACAATTGTAAATTACTCTGACACTTGATGCTGTGAGATGCGCCCCACAGGTTCATTACGAAACAAAGTTCACTTCAGTATTGATACATTGTGCGGCAGAGTTGTTGCCCGTCTGATTTCCTTTGTCACATTGCATTTTGTTTGTTATGGTGAACTTACCTACAAAAGGTTGCAACCAAGACTTTCTATTTAAGGAAGCCAAAGGCCTCTTTTTATGAGTGAAATAAATGTAGCACACGTCCGTGTGTTAATGACCTAATTTCCATAAAATCGTTTTCCTTTTTTCTCCCTCATTGCCTGATGACAAAACAGCTGACAAAAACACAATGGGTTGGGTGGGGTGGGTCGCACCTTGGGAGAAGGGCGCCGTTCTCCCTGGGGGGCTTTGGTGCATCGCGGGAATTTTGCCGAATTTCCGAATCTCGAGTTGCCTTTTTTTAAAGCCAGAATGTGTCCAATGTCATATCACCGCGGTATGGGCCAAAGGACCGGTGGAGGCGGCTAATCTCTTAACGCGTTTTTACCTGCAGAGTCGCTACTGGGATCACACGTTCTGTTTGAGTCCCATTTAGCGGACTCGGGAGCCCAAAATGGGTCGAGTTTTGCCGCCTCTGTCGTCGGTCTTCTGGCCCACTATGCAGCGCGTGTCGAAGGGGTGGTCTACCTTCACGGCGCTGCGCTCTGAATAAGGATCTGAACAAAGGTGTTGTGAAGGTAAGCCACCCTTCGACTCTTTGTTGCACTAAATCTATTTTAAGGGGGCACACCAGTGAAAATCGTCGAATTTCGGCCTCCTTTTTTATTTTATCTTATTTTTCTGCTATTCATTCCGAGTCAAACGCCGCAAACCCCACCTCAAAATTCCAATTACTTTGGCTTGGGAACATTTTTGAAGTTCCTAAAAAGGTAACTATTTTTGCATGTTTTACCTCAATTGTTAACGTTCAGGTGTTTCACTCTAAGTCCAATGACAAAACCCTCGAACCATCGAAATGCAGTTGGAAAAAGGAATATTTTGGCGCAAACCGAGCTCAAATATGTCATAAATTGCGTCCGTAATGAGGAATAATGCATGTAAACCGTGGTTTCACTTCAAACGTCGTTTTCTCGAAACACCATTTATGGACCTGGTGCCCACGATTGCGGGGGCAGAAATTGAGATAATTGAGTGCGGTTTGCGGCAAAATGTTCCTTAAACTTGCCGCTATCGTGTGAACCTCGGATATGGTCGTAGCATGTACAGGGCCTGAGCCACAGACACGGAAACGTGAAAAATATGGTCAAAAAATTAGTTTCTTTTTTTGCTTCTCAAAAAGACATATTTAGGATTGTGTTTCCGACATGTCCGTGGTTCACACGATAGCCACATGTGTCCTGATGAGAAATTTTGAAACCCCATGTTTCTGGCTCAATCGAGGGCTTCACAAAGTTGGGCAAAGTGGAGCCGTGTCACCGAAAAATGAACGCCCATCCCCCTTTCCCGTCGCCGCCCCTGGCTGCCGTTTACTTTTTTGGCCCGTCCCGTTTATTTTTTGTAAAATAACAGGAAAAGTAGCGATATACATCGGCAACTTTGGCCCGTCCCGTACATTGACAAATGTGTGAATTTCGCCTTTGTTTAACCCTGACGGGTTTGAACCTGAGTCTGTGGTCAAAGTAGATGTTATTTTCGTCATCGGTGCCCTCAAAAACATAAGAATCAATGCAACTCGAATAAAAACAATGTTCAAAGTATACCCCACTGGGATTTGAACCCGGGTCCAAACTTCTCAGATTCGCTTGAAACTGGCACCGTTGGTTTTGTCTCGTCGCCCCGATTCCAAAAATACTCCTACATACCTAGCTAGCTGTGTCCGTTGCCGAAATCCTCCTCGACCCCATGTAGACCATGATACACCTGCAGCAGCGCCCCCGGGGCTCGGATCGGATTTGCTGCCACCGGGCGGTTCTTAGGGTCACCCAAGGAGGCTGCCTACCAAATTTGGTCAAGATCGGACCACGGGAAGTCCTCGGACGAACGAACGGACGAACGAACGAACGAACGAACGAACGAACGGACGCACAGCATGCATCATGCTATATGCCCGTCCCTCCGTCATTTTTTTTTACAAAACATAAACGGGACGGGCCAAAAAATGACGGAGGGACGGGCATATAGTATGATCCCTGCTGTGCGTGCGTCCGTCCGTCCGTCCGTCCGTCCGAGGACTTCCCGTGGTCCGATCTTGACCAAATTTGGTATGCAGCCTCCTTGGGTGACCCTAAGAACCGCCCGGTGGCAGCAAATCCGATCCGAGCCCCGGGGGCGCTGCTGCAGGTGCATCATGGTCTGCATGGGGTCGAGGAGGATTTCGGCAACGGATACAGCTAGGAGGTCATGTAGGGGTATTTTTGGAATCGGGGCGACGAAACAAAACCAACGATGCCAGTTTCAAGCGAATCGGAGAAGTTTGGACCCGGGTTCAAATCCCAGTAGGGTATATTTTGGACATTCTTTTTATTCAAATTTTTGCATTGTTTCTGATGTTTTTGAGGGCGCTGATGACGGAAATAACATTTATTTTGATCCCAGCCTCAGGTTCAAATCCCGTCAGGGTTAAACATAGGCGAAATTTGCACATTCGCTGATAAACGGGACGGGCCAAAGTTGCCGATGTATATCGCTACTTTTCCTGTTATTGGTTATTTTATAGTTCAGAATAAAATTTCAACCCATTACCTTCGTTACTTTACTCAGAATAACGGTTTTACGAAGCCTCTGCATTTTCACTGTTGTGCCCCCTTAAAATATCACGATTCTAGCTGCAATCGTAAGATTTTAAGCATGACGGTTTTCGGTCAGCAAAACACGGAATTGCGATGGTTGTAGATTCACCTTTACAGTGCTGCATGCGTTGCTGGTGTTGGCCTCGGCAGCCACAGGGTGGAAGGCCTCGTCACATTGCCACTCTGAATCAAAATTTTTCGCCTATAGGCGGGTTACCCTGTGTACCCTTCAAAACTTAGGGTTGATCTTTCTCCTCCTTCATTTGAGGGCGCCAGGGGCATTCTCGAGTGGCGTGACGCTTGGATCAGAGCACCGCGTCGTTGGAGCGTAAAGGCACACAGGGGGTGGGGGTGGTTATTGACGGTGGCGCTGCGTGCGCGTCATACTCGAACCGTTTTCTTTGACTCTGGCGCCATTACTGCCCCTCTGCCGCTACACCTGCAACCCCCGGTCCGCGGTTTCGGGTACGTGTGGACAATCCTTGGGACCCCCGAGCGTCGTCTCACGAAGAACGGCGGCAGACGAATTCGAATTTGGCCCGGGAAACTAAGAGTGGTGCTTCAATTTTGTCCATCAGTGTCTACTGAGTGACCCAACCATTGCGCCAGTGCCTACACCAGCGGTGGGTGGTCGAAACCGACGAGGTATTGCACTCGCGTAATGGTTGGGTCACTCTGTACAGCGCTTCCTTTCGACTCTATTCGACCAAACACTCAGGAATTAGACAGATAGATGCCAAGGGAACAAAAAGCAAACACGTTTAGGGTTAAATTTTAGCTTTGTAAATCTATATTTCACAGCTTTTGACAGATAAGCAATTGAGTCCTTTCCACATAACAAACATTAAATTTTAACGAATTGGTCTTTCCTATAGATTGATTTGAACATGTTCTTACGCTTCCACAACACTTACATTCCATAGAGGACCTTCACGATGATATTACGTAGAACAATTCTTGCACTCAAGATGAAAATGCTAGCGCGCTATAAACGAGCAAAGAAGAATCGCATCACACTTTCATCCACGTCTCGCATGGAGACCCCCAGCTCAATCCATCCACTGCCTCCTTGCCGGGCGCTTCGTGCGTGTAGAAGCCCACCAGAAACTCGCCAGTTGGCCATGGCACGCCGTGGCAGCCCTTGGCGCAGTGCTCGCACCGCCGCTGCTCCCCGCACAAACGGTTTCTCACGACCAGGAGGAAGTGCGTGTAGCTGGCGAGGACGCGGCACACGTCCGGCTCGTGCATGGAGGCGTGCGCGCACACGGCCTCGTACGTCCATTCGGGAATGCTGAGGCCGCGAAGACGAGGCAAACTGCCGGGGTTGATGGCGGCTTGGACGCGCCGGAACACACTGCGGGGCAGGACGAGCCACTCCAGGGCGGGCAGTCCGGGCAGAGCCGAGGCCAGCTCCATCTCGAGGCGGTCGTCGAGTTCAGTGAAGAAAGAGAAGCCCAGCTTCCGCAGCGCGTCGCGGCCCGAGGACGCCAGCGCCGTCAGCAGCCCCTGCTCCACGGGAACGGAGCTCAGGCTGTAGCCATCAAGCTGCAGCTCCTCGAGGTGCGTGGCGGCGCGCAGGAAGGCCGCCGCGGCCTGGAACGAAGCCTCGTCGTGGCACTCCTTCACGGTCAGGTTGAGGGAGCGCAGCGACGCGCACTTCGCCACCAGCGGCAGGTCCTCCATCACGGGGCAGTCCAAGTGCCGCAGCCCGGGGATGGCGGCCAGCAGCGGCGCCACGCCATGGCAGTCCCACCTCAGCATCACGGCCTGCAGCGTGGCGGCGTGCGAGCGCAGCACGCAGTGCACGAAGCGGGGGTCCACGTTCGTGAGGGCCACCTCCTTGATGGACGCCGGGATCAGCGGCGCGGGCTCAGACCCCTTGGGCCACTCCACCTTCCGGTCTACCCACACGACCAACCGGGTCAGGCCCTGGGTAGAGAAGGCCTCCGCCAGCAGGTCCGCGAGGGCGTCGATGGCTATGAGGCTGTCCACGGACACGTTTAGAGTCCTGAGCGTCCCCAGCGCCGCCTGGTTGCGGATCACGAGTTTGGCCGCTTCCATCCGCGCGGGGTCGTTGCCCACCACAAGGATCAACTCGGCCGCCGCGCATCTGGTCGTGGCGGCCAGCGTGCCGAGCGCGTCGCTGTGGGCTGCAAACCACATGGACAGGCTGGAGGCACACGGCGCCACGCGCAGGACGGCGGCTTCGAGACTTCTCGTGGGGAGGTCGCGTGGCCCGAAGTCAAAGCAGTCGGAGCCGTCAAAGCTGCGTGGCCGCCGTCGCCCGAAGTTAAAGCTGCGTCGCCGCCACAGCTCCGGCCGAAGAGCGACGTCCCGCAAGCGATGACACACCGCCCGGCAGGACAGCAGGTCTGGCGTGCTCAGGTACTCCAGCACGCTCAGCAGGTCGTCGTCCGGCAGCGACAGCAGCGACGTCTGCGCAGAGTTAGAAGGGAGAGGTACAAAAAACGTTGACGCTAACATGAAAGCAGATGATACTAGAGAACGTTTACTTAAATTTACGGTGGTATAAATTTGCCACGATTAATACTGGTAAGATATCACTTGATTAAAAAGAGAAATCACTCGAAGCTCTTTCGGTGACATATTTCTTACGCATGCACTCAAGACTCCTTGCGGACACCAATACGAACGCAATACGGACGGTTTTGTGCAAACGTAAGGTGCGGACGTAAAACTCTTTCTAATACGGATGAAATCATGCGTATTACAAGCAAAATATATCCGTTATTACGATTGCACAAAAAAGTCCGTAATACAGATAGATGTATCCGTAAGAAGTTCAGTGTGTGTGTTTATATCGGTTTATATGCCCTACCCAAAAAACACCAACGTGGCTTCTAGGCTCGGCGTATTTACATTGTGAAAATTGATGACAAGGTGGAAGGTTTACGCCCTTTTTCTGCGTACGGCTTGAATTTGGCTTGAAATGTTGTTTAACTTGGGTCAAACCCAAAAGGGATCCGAGAATAAGAATGCAAGGCCCTGGAAACCAGACTGTGTGCCGGGGCTACATTGCGCGCAGTTAGCATACAGAAGAAGCGCGAGCGCGAGACATTTAAATACAGAGCAATCAATGGTTTCGGCAGACGACTTTGCACTGCACACTATATGTTATATACAATTTTGTACGAAACATCAGTTGTTTGAGCCCACGAACTTTTCATACAATTTTAATACGAAAAGCTGAAAATTTTTCACAATTTTCAGCGACATTGCGTACACATTTGTACGAAAAGTCCGTGCACAAAATTGAGGGGTGAATCACTCAGCGTTCTGGTGTACACATGAGTATATGAGTACGGGTGAGTACACCTTAGTTTACTCATAAATTTTACAATTTGAAACGTTTTAAGGCTTTATTTAGCGTTTTTAACGGCTTTCAACGTTAAGTCGGTTGAAAAACTACACGCTAAAGTCCTTACGGATACCGTGTTTGTAAATTACGGATAGTTTTGTGCAGCCATATTACGGATCGAATTTTATTTGTAATACGGATGTTTTTGTCCGTAATACAAAGATTTGGGAATCCGTACGTTACAACGAAATAATCTGTAAATTACGGACATCAAAACCTTTGTGTTACGGACAAAAATATCCGTATTACAAACAAAATTCGATCCGTAATACGGCTGCACAAAACTATCCGTAACCTACAAACACGCTATCCGTAAGGAGTTTACTGTGTAGAGAATTTCGCCCTTTATAAACTTGTGAGTACACTGAGTACGGGCAATTTTGATCACATGAGTACACTAGTGATTCACCCCTCGCACAAAATACTGTGATGTCTCGTCCAAATTGGTACGAAAACATTTAGTGTGTGGGATACATGCCACACTAGTGTTCTGCATTGGGCGGTCCGTGTCGTTCCGCGCGGACCGATGGCGCTGCCGTCGCTCGGACCGGACCGCCCGGCCCGAGCTTGCCGTCGGTCCGGGCGCTCCGTGGACCGCCCGACCCCGTCGGTCGCTCGGGTACCCGGCAGACCGATAGCCGCCGGAGCCAACTTTTGCCTCCTAGAGGGCAGCACCTGTCGGGACAGTTCGCGCTGTCCTAGGGCGAGGGGTGAGGAGGTGTATTCATGCCTGCTTCCAAAAACTTGGGAGTGCTTCCGGAGGCAGCCGGTGGCGAACCCAGGCGTTCACAGCGCTGCAGTCGCTCCGTGGGCAACGAAATTGGCCGGACCGGCCGGACCGCCCAATGCAGAACACTATGCCACACACTGTATAGTCGGACTTCCGGTCCCGCACGGCTACTGCAGCTGTCTGTCTCGACTTGCCCAGCAGCTTAGCGTGTCTCCAGACCTACAGGCGATTTAAAAATCGTAAGTCCGAAATGACCCAGCGACTCAGCCTCTCTTGATTTTCAGTTAGTACACAGCAAAAGCTTCATAATACGAAGAAAACGAAGGCATTGTAAATTCCGCGACGAAGCAAAATACTTCGTGTAATATGAAGTATTTCTTCAAAACAAAAGGCATTTCTCCAATGCCTTGGTTCTCTTCGCAGGTGCAAAGCAAACGATTGGTAGACTTTGCTGAATTGAACTGAGAGCTTGCAAAGTGCAGGGTCCGGTTTAGTCCATCCGCAAAGCATGAAACGATTCACGAACTTCATGCGGACAACGGACCCGGCGGCTGAAGTGGACTTACCTCTTCGTTCGGTCCCTGCGACGGGACTTCTTCCTTCGCCATGGTTTGGCCGTCCGCAGCAGCTTTTGGAGACTTCCGCAAGGACTCCATGACCGTCAGGTTCCGACAGTGGTCGAGGATGAAGTCTCCCTCGAGAAGCGCTTTAAGTCTTGAGTGCGGCCCACGCAGGATGAAGCGGTGTCGAGACTGTAAAAGTGCCAGTAAAGGGGCGTAAATTAAAGGGAAAAGGGGGGGGGGAATCCAAGCCAGCGTAATGATCTGCAGGACACTTGAAACATAAGATCTCATCTCAGAAATGGAAAGCATATCTCACAAATTCCATCCGTTACACGAGTGTAGGCGGACATGAATAAATATTCCGTGACGTTACGCTGCGTGAGGGGAAGGGGACCCGGGCCAGCGTAGCCACGTTCTATGGTGAGACTAAAGGAGCGAAAAGTGTCCAACAGTGCGTGACGTAATGAATGGATGGACTCTAATGCAAGCGCGGGTCCAGAAACGAGGGGCTAAGAGGACAAAAGGGTACCTCTATGAATCTTGAAACGGAAGAACAAAAAAAAGCCCTAAAAAGGGCTTCTGCGTATGCGTACCGGGCGGTGGGGGAACGCGTCTAGGCATGCAGAAGCTGTTCTCAGGGCTCACTTTTGTTTTCTTCTAACGTTTCTAGATTCATTGGACTACCCTATCCGCCCCGAATAGAGTACTTTCGTGGATCCTGAACCGGAAAGCAAGCAGACGCCATATTGGCCGGAACCTAACCTCTCTTGGGATCTCCACATGGAACCAGGCTGTACAACTATTGCCCGAGGAACACAAATGCTCTGCAAATAAGTATCAAACGACCATTACGTGGAAGTGTGGCCGATACATTTGACTATCGTCCCTTTCCCATGTCAAGTTCTGATCTACTTCCGCCAACATGGCGTCTGTTTGCTTTCGGTTCAGGATCTACGAAAGACCCTAGAATAGGGTACTTTCGTAGAATCCTGAACCGGAAGCAAGCAGACCAGCAGACGCCATATTGGCCGGAAACTAACCTCTCTTCGGATCCAAAACTATAGCCGAGCTGTATAAATATTGCTCGCGAAACACACATGCACTGCAAACAAGTATCAAACAACTGTTTATATTCAAGTGTGGCCGATACGTTTGACGTACGTCTCTTTCCCATGTCAAGTTTGGATCTACTTCCGCCAACATGGCGTCTGTGTGCTTCCGGTTCAGGGATCTACGAAAGTACCAGAAAGCTGTCTTCAACACCGTGACGCAAGACCACAGACAGTCAGTTAATTTTCTTTTTCTCCGTACCCTCCACACGCTTAAGTCCTTACGGATAGCGTGTTTGTTTTGTGATGGTTTTGTGCAGCCATATTACGGATCGAATTTTGTTTGTAATACGGATGTTTTTGTCCGTAATACAAAGATTTGGGAATCCGTATGTTACAACGAAATTATTTGTAAAATACGGACATCCAAACCTTTATATTACGGACAAAAACATCCGTATTACAAACAAAATTCGATCCGTAATATGGCTGCACAAAACTATCCGTAACCTACAAACACGCTATCCGTAAGGACTTTACTGTGCACCCAACAATAGGGTACTTTCGTAGATCCTGAACCGGAAGCAAGCAGACGCCATATTGGCCGGAAGCTAACCTCTCTCCGGACCTAAAGCTATAGCGGAGCTGTACAAATGTTGCTCGCGGGATACACATGCACTGCAAATAAGTATAAAACGACTGTTAATGTTCAAGAGTGGCCGATACGTTTGACTGTCGTCTCGTTCCTGTGTCAAGTTGATCTACTTCCGCCAACATGGCGTCTGTGTGCTTCCGGTTCAGGGATCTACGAAAGTACCCTATTTCCACAGACTCGTACTAGTTGGCTGAGCGGTAGCGAAGCCTGTTACTCCAGTGGGGTTATAAAACTTTTGCTGTCTGTGTGTGTCTGTGCGCACTACTCCTCCTGAACGGCTTGACCGATCTGGCTGCGATTTTGCAAGGTCATTAGGTATGTCCTTGGCTCGCCACACACCAAAATTCAGCTTTCAACCTCAATCCATTCGGTCATAGTAGCCAAAAAACACTTAAAAAACGTCAGAATAAAACAACTTTTTAGATACTTTCAACTTTTTGAAAAGTTCCATATAGTTTCCTATGTTTTGAAGGGTGCTGATGACAAAAATAGAACCCATACTGACCCCTGACCTAAAGGTAAATCCCTTAAGTGAAGATTTTGGTCACCAAATTCTAATTTTTGTGGGGATTACGTTTAATTCTACGGTCCGACTAGAAAAGCAAGCCTGCCGAAGGCAGGCTAGCGCCGCAGGCCAAGGTCGGTGTACACGCCAGGCGTGGATTGTCGAAACTGGCGCAGCATCGCGAAGCCTGTTACGTCAAGACACGGTCTGGCGTACACCTACCTTGTATATTCCGTAGGACTCGAAAGTATCCTCCGCATCCGTAGCAAAGAAATAAGGTGTAAACCCTACAGAGAACGTTAGCAAAGGGCATGGAAAACGTGAGGATCTGGGCACGGAGAATCATCAAAAGTTCATTTCTCAATTCCCCGTAACATTTTATACCACGACGAAGGTAGGCAAAACCTTACACAGAGCTGTGCAGAGCTGCACGAACACGAGCTGTTGTGAGGCGTTGCTGGCTGCTGCCGACGCCGACTGCTGACGGACTCGACGCGGCGACGGCGACTCAGCTGGGCCAGGGGTGGGGGGTGGCCGGGCTCGCAATCCGACTCCCATGGCGGAGGTGGAGGCTTTAGCGAGCTGCTGCTGCTCAGAGGCGGAAGCAAGTAGAACTGAAACGGCTGTCGGAATTGACCCACCAGCTGAACCTATCTTGATTCGAGGGAACGTTCCTCCAATGCAGAGGAACCAACGCGGGGAAAAGTTGGGTAAGAGTGGCAGGACCTACGAGGACCTAAGATAACCTAAGAGTGAGTGCGAGTGCGAAGGTGTCCACGGTGCCTACTAAACCCGTGTTGGTTCGCCTGTACACTTCTTCAGTCTTCGTCGGCGAAGGTCAAAAGCATTCGAAGAGGCAGGAACCAGCGGTGCGCCACGTTACGGCTGTTGGACCAGCGGGGAAGCTAAGCCGAGCTGAAGTTGGGTCGGTAAGCGTTGCTATGGAGTGGAGTGGAGGTTCAAGCCAGTGGCCGCTGGCTGGCGCGCAGCTGCTTTCTGCGTTTGATTACCGTGAATTTTCACTGCACACTAAATTACTATGTATGTTTTTCTGCGCGCCAATGCACGAAATTAAACATGCACTTCGTAACGCACGAATTGGTGCGCGACAATGCACGATTTTCTGCATACTTGCGCACGAAATCTTGCATTGTCGCGCACAAATTCGTGCGTTACGAAGTGCCGTCAACGGGGGTAACTTGGGACACCGGGAGTAACTTGGGACAGTCTGCCCTGCACAGCTTGTTGGTGCTGCCATTCCGCGACGGCGGTTCCTAGCGTCAAAACCGCGGCAGGGTTTTCTTTCAGAGGCCTCAGGGCACGCGCGGAAAGGTAGAAAAGGTGCATAACATAACAATTAGTATTTGAGAAACGGGGAACTACATAATAGGGTTTTTGACAAAATTTGTCAAACATTGACAAGTTGACCCTAGTGCAAGGAGTGATATGCAGATTTGGCCGATTAGTCTCTCTGGGTTGTTAGATCATACACAGACAATAAAGTTCGCAAAAGGGCGTTGATTATAGTTTTCCCATCTTCGGTCCAGACTTCATTTTCTCAAAAATCGAAATTTTACGGGGTAACTTGGGACAGTCTTTTCCTCATGTTTCCAGCAGTCGTAGCCTCCTAGGAGTTGACTTACCTGGTCCCTGACTTAACTTAAACTTAGGATTTGACGCTCATGATGGAAAGAGATGCCTTGCTCTGCAGTTTTGTCTTCTGGTAATCCATATTTCTAAATTTTCAGAAAATACCTGGAAAATACCAGTAGAAAAGAGAGTTCCGCGTAGAGCCCTAGATATAGTCCAATATCGGTCCTACAAGAGATCCTAGGCCTGAATTTTTGGTCTATATGTTGTGACTTGAATTTATTAAGTCCATTAACATCAATAGATGCATGGGAACGTAGCTAATTACCTACTGTCCCAAGTTACCCCCGGTCATGGGGTAACTTGGGACACTCTTTCGGGACCGCTTGGAAACGATGTAATCGAGGCAAATGAACCAGACAAGCATGAAATCATGGGAAAAGGGTCAAACTTTAACATAGGTAGGATCCATTGGTCTGGGTTGAGAATCTTGCCTCTGGCGTTCAAAAAACGTGAGAAAGTGTCCCAAGTTACCCCCGTTGACGGTGCATGTTTAATTTCGTGCATTAGCGCGCAGAAAAACCTACATAGTAATTTAGTGTGTGGGTGATTATTGAAATAGTCCATCGCGCTTGGTTTCCGGCCGTTCTAAACCGCATCGGTAGCCGAATTGAGGAAACTGATCAACCTGTAAACTAACCGAAACCAGCACCCTAAATGCAGCATATCAAATTGTAGAGAGGATTGCGACGCGCTAGTTACGTTGTGACCGTTACGCAGGTCTAGGTCGTGATTCGTCGACTTCCGGTTAGCATCGTGATAAATTAATCCACTCGAGTGTGACGTTTCATCAACTTCAGCCGATAGATCTATGCCATTTCTGGATTCCGCTTTTGTTCCTACTTCCGATCCACATCTCCATTGAAAAAATCAACTTGTAGCACTGTCAGAAAAAAAGTCCGTAAATTTACGGAGAAAGTTACTCTAATTTTGGGAATGGAGCCTCCGTAAATTTTCCATATTTTTACGGACATTTTCCGTATTTTTACGGAGATGAACCGTATTTTTGCAGAAATGAACGCATTTTAACGGTTTACTTCTCTCCTTTTACCTTCGATGTTAATACAAACAGTGCCCTTTTTATACGAAAGTGATGTTCTCCACAACTGTTTGAAGATCCACTTGACCACATGCCATTTCGATCGGATAAATGGACGGAAACCCGAAGGTGAGGTCGCCTTAGGGAAGGCGCACTCTCGGAACACCTAATCAGTTGGTCACCCGGACCCATCGATAACGTGAATTAGTCTCTTCTTTTTGATAAGTAAGGCTTCCATTTCATTTATATAAATAACTTCCATATTTTTACGGAGAAAATCCATAATTTAAAAAGCGGAGATCTCCGTTAAAAGAAATGGACAGTCTCCGTTAAATTTCCGTATTTTTACGGAGTTTTCTGACAGTGAAGTGGTGCACACTAAATTACTATGTAGGTTTTTCTGCGCGCTAATGCACGAAATTAAACATGCACTTCGTAACGCACGAATTTGTGCGCGACAATGCACGATTTTCAGCATACTTGCGCACGAAATCTTGCATTGTCGCGCACAAATTCGTGCGTTACGAAGTGCATGTTTAATTTCGTGCATTAGCGCGCAGAAAAACCTACATAGTAATTTAGTGTGTGCTGTTGGTGGCGTTGCGCTCCCTGCTGCACCTTGGCCTAGGGAACCTGCACGCTCTGGGTCTTCCCGACCTCGTGTCTCACCCGCGTCACGCTGTGGACTTGGGAACGGAGTGGCAGCCAGCGTATCGTTATGTGAGCACTCACACTAAATTACTATGCAGGTTTTTCTGGGCGTCAATGCATGAAATTAAACATGCACTTCGTAACGCACGAATTTGTGCGCGAAAATGCACGATTTTCTGAATACTTGCGCACGAAATCGTGCATTGTCGCGCACAAATTCGTGCGTTACGAAGTGCATGTTTAATGTCGTGCATTGGCGCGCAGAAAAACCTACACAGTAATTTAGTGTGCATTTTTCAAGAATTAGAAGTTGAAACCGAGTTCAGTTGAGAAGTTTGGTTTGACGCTGGGCAAGGGTCGCGGGGGACGGACCTGCGTAACTCTGCGTAACACGGCCAGTGTAGCACTCTCAGACTCGTATTGACTTTTTATCTCTTGCCTTAAAGGTTTTTGTGCAAACGTAAAATGTACTATTTTCTTTTTAGCTATGCACTATTTTGTTAATTGTATAATGTACTTAGTCCATTAAACTGGACTTTTTGTCATTTGCAATGTACGTTTCAATTTCTACATGATGTATTGACAATTTTTTCTTTATTACGATCAATATTGTGCATTATTAAGAAGAAAATAGTACATTTCGCGTTTGCTCAAAAAACGGAATAAGCAAGAGAGAAAAAAGTCCATATAGGTCTGAGAGTGAGGGGACTAAATAGTGTCCGAACTAAGGTCTTGACCGGAAGTCTGGAGCCACGGCCCAAGAAAACTGCACTCCTTGCAGCGTTCAACATCGATGGTGCCTCTGGGTATCACGCACTTCGCTCCACTTGCGTGCCACCGTGGGTTGTAGTTGGCTCCAGGCACGAGCTCTGTAAGGGAGGGTGGGGCACCATGACCACTGGGACACCATGACCACCCCCTCGCTCTCGGGAACTACTTTGCCGACGGCAACCGGCCGACCGGACTTTCGAGAGAATAGCATTCTAACTATTTTCAGCCAGAGCCCTAGCTTCAAGGGTACAACCCTAGCACCTCGCCAAAATTTTTGTTACAGCGTTTTGGCTAAATTGGGCGTTTTTCAAATCTGGGATATTTTTTCTCACTCTCACATTTGAGGAGATAAGTTCGATGTCTTAGGTTTTTCTCAAAATGTCGGCTCTCCGGCAAAATATCCAACATCACATTTAATTTTAAGTAGCTGTTTGCTTGCTCGGGGAGCCTTACACACTAAACTTGTTACGGATACATCCTATCTGTATTACGGACATTTTTGTGCAATTGCAATTACGGATAGATTTTGCTTGTAATACGGATAAAATCATCCGTATTACAAAGAATTTTACGTCCGTACCATACGGATATTTTCGTCTGTATGTTACGGACACGAAAACCTTTGTATTACGGATAAAATCATCCGTATTACAAGCAAAATCTATCCGTAATTGCAATTGCACAAAAATGTCCGTAATACAGATAGGATGTATCCGTAAGAAGTTTAGTGTGTAGAGTCGTAAACTGCATTGTGGGGAGCCATGACCACTTTTTAGTGGGGCACCATGACCATACATATTTGAGTGTTTTTTCTCATATTTTGGCCTGATAATGATTTATTTTCGTCGAAAACTTGCTTTTTGCTTCTGAAAATGTATAAAGGTTTGAATAATTGCTGCAGAATAGATAGTTTTATCATAAATCGTGAATAACCAAGATGATTAAGAATGGTTCTGAAACTGAGACTTGAAATGGTAGTTTCTCTTGCACTAAATGAGCTCCAAACCGCAAAAGTTGGCCGCGAAGGCGATCCGTGGCTACTTTGCACCAAGATGGCTCTGGCATTTTGAGAAACAGCATTTAATTCACTTGTTTGCAGTGTAGTAACCGCGATAATTTTCTTAAAATTTACCAAATTGAAATCTGCATACGAATTTGGATTCGTCTTAGCAAGACAAACATAAAATGTTAACACATGTCACAGCTTTGGATGTGACATTTGAAAGCCTTAGAGCGTTAACTGTTTTAAACCGTCCATTTTAAGGCATCTAAGAACGTTTGATACTTCGAAGGTTTTTACAGTGTTTTTTAGTCAAGTTGACTGGCCTGATGGTAAGGACAGCGATATAAACAATTTCAATGAGAATACTGGTGGAAAGTACACTTTTTTGGGCCAAAAAATAACTGTGGTCATGGTGCCCCACGGGGTGGTCACACTAAATTACTATGTAGGTTTTTCTGCGCGCTAATGCACGAAATTAAACATGCACTTCGTAACGCACGAATTTGTGCGCGACAATGCACGATTTTCTGCATACTTGCGCACGAAATCTTGCATTGTCGCGCACAAATTCGTGCGTTACGAAGTGCATGTTTAATTTCGTGCATTAGCGCGCCGAAAAACCTACATAGTAATTTAGTGTGGTCATGGTGCCCCATAGGTGGGGCGCCATGACCACTTTGCGTTTTATTTTCCAAAGTGTTCTGTGAGCCTGCCGTGCATTGCAGACAAGTTTCAATCGGTGGAAGAGGTCCTTGGAGGTCCAAAGAATCCCCTCATGCTGGAAACTTAACTTTTCGAATCACACGGTGGAATAGAGGGAGGCACAAAAAAAAAGTGGTCATGGTGCCCCACCCTCCCTTAATCCTCTCATTCATTTTTGCCAAGCTCACGTACGGGTTCTGAAAGTTCTCCGTCGTCCGGCCCAGAGCCCTTTTGAAGCTATAGTGAGCGGCGGAGGAGTCGTCATTTCTCCTTCCGGTGGAGAGGCCCTCTGACCGAAATGCGAGTGCTTGTCTCCGCGGGTTCACGGTCTCTAATGCCACGCTCCCACTGTCCGACAGCCTTGCACTGTTTCGTCCGGCGGGGCCCTCAGACTCGATTCGCTTCCCGAAGAAGACGTCTGCGGCGGCCGTTTCCGTCCGAACGGCCATGGAGTCCGAGGGGAAGCCGTCTGACGCCACGCAAGTCGCTGCCGTGGACAGCCCAGCCATGGCGATGGACGATGAGATGCAGGCAACGTGGAGGTGAGTTCCCTCGAGCTGTCAGGGGAAGTGGTATTTACAACTCTATTGAACGGTATGGTGGTGACTCTTGTGGCAAAAAGTTATGGAGAAATCTGTAAACGGCTTGTGATAATTCTCCGTATCCAGGACATTATATTTTCCGTAGTCTTCTTGGAATCTTCCGGAGGTGGTTATGAGTCACCACCATCACCCTCTAAATGGGTGACGTAACTTCGTTGCCCAATTCTGGGTGACGTAATATTCTTCACCCGAAATTTGGTAACCGTCGTTAGGTCGTCCGCAAATTTGGGTAACGTCGACGACGCCGCGAGGTCCTCGATGGCGTCCTTCCGGGGCCACCACGATGATCGCCACATAGCGTTCAGGCTGCCGTGAGACCCGCACTCTTAAAATCCTACGAAGCATTTGCTTCATAACTACAAAGAAAATGAAGGCATTGTAGAATTGCTTCGTATTATGAAGAAATTTTTCGTATTACGAAGAATTTTTCTTCATAACACGAAGCATTTCTTCGTAGATTTTACAATGCCTTCATTTTCTTCGTATTACGAAGCGACTCTTCGTAGAGTTTTTACTGTGCGGAGGCCTCAACGCCACATAGCGGTCATCGGGGACCTCACGGCGTCGCCGACGACGTTACCCACATTTGGGCGACCTAACGCCGGTCACCAAATTTCGGGTGATAGATAATTCGTCACCCAAAATTGGGCAACGAAGTTCAGTTTGATGGTGGTCATGGTCATGCTTGACACATTCGCTGCGACGGGGTTTTGGGCGGAATAGCCCAGACTGCGATGGTTTAGTTACAGACTCCTAAATTTTCGGTGCTTTCTCCCCCTAAATCTGCGAACGCTCTGCGCAGACGTCGCTGCTGTCGCTGCCGGACGACGACCTGCTGAGCAGGCTGGAGTACCTGAGCACGCCAGACCTGCTGTCCTGCTGGGCGGTGTGTCATCGCTTGCGAGACGTCGCTCTTCGGCCGGAGCTGTGGCGGCGACGCAGCATTGACATCGAGTATACGCGACGCCTCCACCAGAAGCCTCGAAGCCGCCGTCCTGCGCGTGGCGCCGTGTGTCTCCAGCCTGTTCATGTGGTTTGAAGGCGACAGCCACGCGCTCGGCACGCTGGCCGCCACGACCAGATGCGCGGCGGCCGCGCTGATTTTCACCGTGCGCAACGACCCAGCGTGGCTGGAAGCGGCCAAACTCGTGATCCGCAACCAGGCGGCGCTGGGGATTCTGAGGACACTGGAAGTGCGCGTGGTGGGCCACAAATCCAACGACGGCCACGCCGCGGACCTGCTGGCGGAGGTCTCCTCCACCCAGGGTCTGGCCCGGTTATTCGTTGAGGTAGACTGGGAGGTGCAGTGGTCCGTGGGGGCTGAGCCCGCGCCGCTGATCCCGGCGTCCATCAAGGAGGTGACCCTCGAGAACGTGGACCCTCGCTTCGTGCACCGCGTGCTGCGCTCGCACGCCGCCACGCTGCAGGCCGTGCAACTGAGGGGGGACTGCCAGGGCGTGGCGCCGCTGCTGGCCGCCATCCCCGGGCTGCGGCACTTGGACTGCCCCGTGATGGAGGACCTGCCGCTGCTGGCGAAGTGCGCGTCGCTGCGCTCCCTCAAGCTGACCGCCGAGTACCCCGACGAAGCTGCGTTCCAGGCCGCGGCGGCCTTCCTGCGCGCCGCCACGCACCTCGAGGAGCTCGAGCTCCCCTGGTATTATTACTCCGTTCCCGTGGAGCAGGGGCTGCTGACGGCGCTGGCGTCCTCGGGCCGCGCCGCTCTGCGGAAGCTGGGCCTCGCATACTTCACTGGACTCGACGTCCGCCTGGAGACGGAGCTGGCCTCGGCTCTGCCGGGACTGCCCGCCCTGGAGTGGCTCGTCCTGCCCCGCACTGTGTCCCGGCGAGTCCTGGCCGCCATCAACCCCGGCAGTGCGCCTCGTCTTCGCGGCCTCTGCATTCCCGACTGGTCCGAGGCCGGGTGTGTGCACGCCGTCATGCACGAGGCGGACGTGAGTCGCGTCCTGGCCAGCTACAGCCGCTTCTTCCTGGTCGTGGAAAACTTTTGGTGCTGGGAGGAGCAGCGGTGCGAGCACTGCACCAAGGGCTGCCACGGCGTGCCCTGGCCAACGGGCGAGTTAGAGGTGGGCTTCTACACGCACGAAGCGCCCGACAAGGAGGCAGTGGATGCATTGAGTTGGAGGTCTCCATGTAAGGTGTGGATCAAAGCGTGATGCAATGGCACTGTTCTCGTATCTAAGCTCAAGAATTAGTTAATACAGGTGTGGGGAGTTCAACAGCCTTGATATTGCTCACATCAGCTATTGCATAGCTGCCGTGTGCTCTATGACTGACACCTTGCAAGCATACTTGTTTCACCGTTAGATGTTTGTGAAGGAAAGGTTAAAATCCTTGAAACGCGGTACCTGAGAAACTTTTCTTCTTACCGTCCTGTTCGTTGTTCATGAGAGCCTCTTTTAAAAGCTTCGTTTTAGCGCCAACCGTTAGGAACGATATCAATTTCGGCCACCTGGAGGGGTGGTTACGTTGCCTGTGGAAAATGGGAAGTGGAATCGTTGCTTCTCTTATCCTTCCAGCTCGGTCGGTACAGTACAGCGCAAATCATGAATGGAATGGTTGTTGGTTTGGTGCGGTGTGTATCTAAGCCCTTTTCACTTGTGTCCCTATTAATTGACATACACTCCCAGATATCATGTTACTGCGTTCTACATGCAGCGACATGTCACTTTTGTAGAAAATTTTGCAGCAACTGTGGTGTAACTAAAACACGTCAAATCAGCATTCAAGAATTTTGAAAAATTCAAAACTCAAATGTGGGGAAACTTGTATTTTTCTGTATCAACTTAGTGAAATAAAGAATTGTAAATAGTTTAATTTATAGGATGATGTTGTTGTCTTTGCTTTTGTTCCCCTACCTTTTTAATTCCTGAGTGCTTGGCGGGATGGAGTCTCTTGGAAAGAATCGTTTCCGCCACACGTGATGCGTCCTCGACAATTTAGATGCGTAACGGTTTTGAGAGTGTACATCCCTTCAGTTGAATTGCACATCTTAGGTCCCCCGCCTTCCTTGGCTGCGTGCCGCCACACAAAGTTATTTGGCAAAAAAAAAAAAACTCTAACGCTAACGTGAAAGCTGATGATACCAATGAGAATGTTTAATTAAATGTATGGTGGTTTGATTTTATTCCACGATTAGTGGAAAAATTTGTCGATGATGAATGTGACATTTTGTCAATGAATTTGAAAGAGTAAACACTCGGAACTCTTCATTTGACAAATTTCTTACGTGTGGTAATTTACGAAAATGTCAATTTTCGTATAACTTTTGGATATCCTAAGGTGCCTAAGGTCAAACACATTCGCAATGTCGGTGGGACACTCATATGTCGGATACCACTTGTGTTGGGTATCATTTTCGTTGTTTCGAAGCGAGGATGCACAATTTGGTGGCTAATCACATTAATACTCAACACCCGTAAAAGTTGTTTTCGGTACTAGGGCGGGATGCCTCGCCGGACGCAGCGTGGCGGGACGTGGTTATGAGAAATACTACATCCATGGTGGCGTCTCGGCAGAGGAAGGGGCGCGGGGGGCAGCTGCGCGATGCGTCCACTCAGAAAAGCTTGCAAAGAAAAGTACTTTGCAGTACAAAGTATTCTCCGGCATTGTATTACAAACTCCCTTGCGGACTTTTTCCTTCGCATTGCAAAGAAATAGTTCGTAAGTTGCGAAGAAAAAAGTTTGCAACGTTGCGAAGCATTGGTTTGTAACGTTGCAAAGCATTTTGTTTGCAAGTTGCAAAGAAAATAGTTTGTAAGAGAGTTTGCAATACAATGCCGGAGAATACTTCGCAAGGTTTTTTGGATGTGCTAGCAGCGTCTCGCGACGAGAGGAAGGGGAGCGGCAGCGCGCAAGTGAGGGACGCACTTCATGAGTACTAGATAGCTGGGTGTCGAGGTTATACGCCGCGCGCGCAACCCGAGCCCCCGCAGGCGCCCCGATTCATGAGCGGCGCGCCACGGCGCGGCACGGCGGGCTGCGCGCCCTCCGCTCATAATCTTCTAGGCAGGCCAGCCAGCCGCTGCTGCCTTGCCAGCGAGGCGCTCGGCCTCCTCTAGGCTTGCTAGTCAGGCAACGATGCAACTGCTGCCTCACGGAAAAAAGGAATTCGTTGACCCAACGAAAATGTGCGTTGATTCCGTGATAACCGAAAAAATTTGCTGGAGTTACGAAACCTTTGTTTGAGTAACAAAATTTTTGTTGGCAAAACTAACCATCTGTTACGCAACCAAAATATCCGTCAAAGGAACAATAAGTGATGATTTTGTCACTCAAACTAACTTTCTTGCTCCGCCAACGAATTGTTCGTCAGATCAACAAATTATTCGTTACGCGAACAAACTTTTCGTTACTCAAACAAATTATTTTCGGTTATCACGGAATCATCGTACATTTTTGCTGGGTCAACGAATTCTTTTTTTCCGTGCTGGCTAGCAGGAAACTCGGATACTCTCAGCACGTGAACGTGAACGTATCATCTGCTGAAAAAGTTCGTGACGATTTTTGTAGCAAGCTGCAAAGTAATTGGTCGGAATGCAATCCTTTCTGCTAATGGAGAAGAATTCCTGCTGTACCCGTTCTCAGCGAGTGTGCGTGCGCGCGGAAGTACTTTTTCTTAAATATCAACCACTTTTCATCCACGTGATTGTAAATAAGTTGTAGGCTCTTTTTACTTTTCGTTTCACAGTGAGGTTTGTCTTGATAACCTACTTGCAGCTGTGCCTGAGTGCCCACTGACCCTCGTAGAACAATGTAGGTCAATGGCACCTTTCGATAAGGTGAAAGCAGTAATCTCGAGCGGGAATGCACTTAAGAGGCAAACGAGCTGTACTTTACGCCATTTCCAGGTAGTGCAGGACCATTTTGACACGTGCACTGTTAAAAAAGCCGCACATTTCAAGGAAAAAGGTACGGCTAGACCGTACCTCCAGGTCAGGTGTACGGAACAACTGCACACTCTCATTCCAAGTACGTGACGTCACGTTGAAACGTGACAAACTGTCACGTTCGTTTGAGCATTGTGTCTTATTCGTTTGGATGTGAATCGGCCAAAAATTAGCTTTCCGTCTTTTGAAAGACGGAGATCGCTGTTGCACTGTTAGAAATTAGCTCCGAAATTTTATGGAGAAAAAACCTATAATCACGTTCATGGAGACTCCATTCATTTTCCATTTTTTTTCGGAGAGATTTTCTAAAGGCTTAAACAGATGTTCTTCGGAGCATTCCTTGGGTCCCGATGGGAGGTAAAATGCAAGTCTTTTCTCAGATATATTAAAAAGGACTTCGCTGAAGCATTTTTTGGTCTGAAATGGTCAAAGAAGGGACAATCTCATCCGAGCTCATTTGACTTATATCCTGTAGCTTTCCCTTTAATATTATGAAAATTGAGCTCGAGAAGTAGGGGTTCACCTTTCACTCAATTTTTAACTGGTTGCAAACCTTTTTTTTCGTATTTTTGTGATAGTGAAGCATGCATTTTGTTCAAAATTCCGAAATTTTTCGGAGAAAGCCCAGAATTTTCATTTATGGAGAGCTCCATGCAGAAGTTTCGGAAAAACTCCATGATTTTACCAATTTTTTTCGGAATTTTCTGACAGTGTGCTTTTTATGCTCATCTCTCCGTTGTCCGAGCGGCCAACGCTGCATCGGGACGGCATGGTCAAAGCCTCATAGGTCACCGTGGGTCCCCGAGGACGTCGACGGGCACCTCACAGGGTCCCCGATGACGATGCGAGCATTACCTAGGTTCCGACCATTCGTTGAAAGGTCTCATCAAGATCTACTCTAATCAAGAATATAAACAAATTCTTGGTCAACCCCCTTTTCTCCTTGAGACCTAACGGTGACCTTTGAGGCTTTGACCATGCCGTCCCGATGTGGCGTTGGCCGCTCGGACAACGCACTCTTAAAACCTTGCGAACCGATGTGTTTGTAAGCTTGCGGAGGGTCTCACTTGTTTGCAATGCGAAGAACGCATCCATATTGCAAATCAGTAGTTCGCAACTTGCGAAGAGGTGCTTCGCAATTTGCGAACAACGTGTTTGTATTGCGAAGCCCTTACAAACACATTGTTCGCAAAATTGCGAACTATTAGTTCGTAATACAATCAAGCCAAACTCTTCGCAAGTTGCGAACCAAATGGTTTGTAATGCGAACACATTCTTCGCAAGGTTTTAAGAGTGCGGAGAGATGAACACCGGAAATTAGTCATTCATACTTAAAAAATAATAACAATTTTTGTTGCTTATACGAATACGTAAATAGTGAGGAAAAAGTCAGCAACGTGCCGAGTGTGCACGTGCACCCAGCGTTTCTCCCGTCGGGTAGTGACCACCCGATTGTTTCTGATCTCTGGCAATACTCTCGATTGCAATCGAGCATGTTTCCACTTTCTTCTACGTACTATCTAATTGGCCACACAGTTCTACAATCTAATCTTTGGAAAAATTTGGAAGTGTGACTTAGGCGCCACTTTCTCCTTGGTTCGCATTCTGTGCCGATTCTTACATTCGAAGCTCTTCTTGTACGTTGCCGTTTAAATCGTTTTCAATCCAGCTTTTTATCAGCGCGGCAAAAGCTTACGGCGATCGTTTTATCGCATTGGCATGCAGCAACAGAGTGTGCATGATACGACTCTCGCTGCGTTGTCTCCTAATCTGAATAATCTGAGGCCGTACTAAGTTACGGCATCTTCGCCAGTTCTCGCCAGACACTGGCCCTAGATACTGTGTGTTCGTTGAGACAGTGAATGGCATCGGTTCTCTGCAAACCGTTAGTGCTCATTTGATGGTTAGCTCATCGGACTGTGAGGACCCATTTTTTTTTTAAATTTAACGGACACACTGCTCCCTAGTGTATCGGTTTTAACTAGAAGGAAGTGTCGTCGTAACTATTTGAAGGTGTTAACGTACCGTGAAAGCGGGTAATATGGACCACCAGTGGGTAATGTGGACCACCCCTTGAGCTCTTCTATGTGATCGGTGATGCCGCCTACCTGTGGCATAGAAAACCGTTTCGGCTACAAGCATCCGAACTTGAAAGTTACTTGGCTCGAATCGATCATTTAGAAGAATTTCAGGGGTGGTCCACATTACCCACTGGTGGTCCATATTACCTGCATTTACGGTATGCATCCAATTATTTACACATGTCTGTTGACGGGTTTTCCGAATGAGTCTTCCTCAATCTAGACAACACTTGCTGAAAGTTTTATTGGACCCTCAGATTGAGCAACCGAGTGGTTTAGAGGTGAAGAAACGTGAAGAAAATGAAGAAGCGTACTTAGACAGCTACCAACTCCATTAAAAGTTCTGCCGCCGCTCACTGCTTCAAACTTCCAAGGTAGTAGGAAGTTCAAACTACCTCAACAGCATAAACCAATATGGCGGAAAGAAATGCGGAAGAGTTTGCGCGGGACGTGAGTACACGTTTCAATTTTGGGCAGTTCCTAATCCATCTACGGGATGATAAACTACCGAATAAAACATTATTATTTTTAAAAACTCGATGTTTAAAAATTCAGACTGTTTCTCGTTGTTGGCTCTCGAGAGCCAACTATCGTTTTGGTCACTAAGCTCAAACCAAAGAAGCCTATTTGTACGGGGAAAGAATATTGTCTCGTTATGGATTTCATTTTGCCACCAATTTCGGGCGCGCGCGAGGCAATGAGAATTTCGCTGTTTCCTTTCCTGACACGATTCATTTAGCTGCCAAACTCTCTCCACAGGACCAAGACTCCACGCAGGAAAAGATCAGATACCCACGAGCCGTATTTTTAATAATCGTCAACGAGTTTTGTGAACGGTTTTCATTCTACGCTTTGCGGAGTAAGTGGCAATAAGGAACGCACCAGTTAAAAATGAGGGCTACTTGTTTAGCTCAGGGAAACCTACAGGATAAAAGTCAAATGAGCTCGAAGGACAATGTCCCTTCTTTGGCCATTTCAGACTCCAGAATGCTTCGGCGAAGCCCTCTTTAAAATATCTGAGAAAAGACATGCAATTTACCTCCCACCAGGACCCGCTCCGAAGAACATTTCGTTAAACTCTGAGGAAATCTCTCCGAAAAAAGATGGGAACTGACCGGAGTCTCCATGAACGTGATAATAGAGATTTTCTCCACAAAATTTCGGAGCTAATTTCTAACAGTGAATACTAAGCAATTGTACAATGCCTTCATTATCTTTGTGGTTACGAAACAAATGCTATTTATTAGACTATTACATTTCTCAGACTGTTCTTGACCTGACGTCACTTGTATTTATCTTCAAATTATTTGTCCTTTCTTTCTGACTGTCGAATCTTATTCTGTTGCCTGTTAAGAAATCAGTCTGTTTTTTGGTGTTTGTGTAACGTGCATATTTGAAGTTTTAAGTACCCTTTCTTTTCCAGCGGTGCTCGTACTCTTTCTCAAAGACAAGCTGTTCCTCACCGAGGACGATGCGACCATCGTGTTCCACGCATTTAACATGACGTGCTACCTTTTCCCTATCGTCGGCGGCATCATCTCGGACTCCTGGCTTGGAAAATTTAGGCGCGTGTGTTCTCACTGCTTCCTTTTATGTGTGGGTAAACGGAAAACAATTTGAAAGACCGTCGGCATGTCATGATTTTTTTTTTTCGCATTGCCCTGAACATCACGCACATGGGAGACCAATTTATACAGTGTTAAAAGGAAAAAGAAAAGATTAACTTAACTCTCGGCAATTTTAGTCTAAAAATTCTTCCATATTACTCAGACTATTCTGTCTGAATTCAAATTCAGAACGTTCTGTTCTGCCTGAACAAAATTTTCAGACTGCTGGTCTGAAGTATTAAATATTATTTTCGTTGCTTCAACTAAAGATTTGAAGTTGAAAAAAGATGTTAACAAATCAACCAAGCTTTTGATTGAACGGATTGAAGCTCTCTAAGGACGACCAAAAGTTTAAATGTTCCCGACAAATTTCGTCGATTTCAGTTTGTATAGTACGTAAGAGACTCCAAAGAGGTGAAGATTATCCTGTTCAAATTTTGTAATTGACAATGGACGAAGCTCTTTGACTGCTAAATTATATCTTGTCATTGGCGGATGGCTTCACGTTCTAGGGGCGAAATACCCTGAAGTGTCATTCCCACTCTGACAAGACACCCACTTTAAAATTCAACTTTAGATGACATCTGGTCGCTCTACGTGTTGACTGTTAAATTTCTTTTTCATTGCAGAACGATCCTGTACCTCTCACTCCTGTACGCCGTTGGGAATGTAGTGGTGGCACTGGCCTCGTGGAGGGCTCTCGCACTGCCTGGACTGTAAGTCACTTCGTCAAAATTTCGCAGGAGTAAGGGCACCCGCGCCAGCAGTTTCATTTTGTGCAAGGGTGATCAGAATCCTTTGGTGGGGTCACACGTTTGGTTCGAGTCCTGTTTCGAGGGGTCCTATTCGAAAGATCTTATCTGGGCGTTCCCCCCAAGAGAATCTTATTTTAAACGCAGGCAAATTTCACTCAGTTTGATCATTTGCTACAGCTACAAATCGACATAATTTGTGATTTTATTCACATTTATCTGAAGATGGAAGATCAAAGAAACCAATTTATTACGCTTACTCTCGTATCCGTAACAAATGGTCAAAATGAGTGAAATTCGCCTGCGTTGAAGATAAGATTCTCTTGAAGGGAACGCCCAGATATCTTTTGAGGACCCGTCGGTTTAGCGACTCTGGAGCTCAAAACGCGTCTCGAGATTTGTCCGCCTCTACCGGTCTTCTGGCCCACTGTGCGTCGGCTGCTAGGACCAATCACACAGCAAAAGCAGCGCCTGGGATCCCTTCGCCGACCTTGAAAAAATAAGGGTTTTCTAGGGGCTGCTTGGGAATCCTTTTTGCCGAGGCAGA